TTCCAGTGCAGATTTTGACCTTTACATTTGACATTATTTTCAATGTGAAAAATGTTTTAGCTCACCTGAGCCGAAGGCTCAAGTGAGCATTTCTGATCACATTTTGTCCGTCGTCCGTCTGTCCGTCAGTCCGTCTAGCTGTCTGTCTGTCCATCTGTCTGTCCGTCTGTTAACTTTTCACATTTTCGACTTCTTCTCAAGAACCAATGGGTCAATTTTCATCAAACTTGGTACAAAGCATCCCTGTGTTAAAGGAAGTTTAAATTGTTAAAATGAAGGGCCAAGTTTCCTCACAAGGAAAGATAATCAAGAAAAGACAAAAATAGCGTGGGGTCATTAAAAAATCTTCTTCTCTAGAACCACTGGGCCAGAAAAGCTGAAACTTATGTGAAAGCATCCTGGGGTAGTGTAGATTCTAAATTGTTCAAATCATGGCTCCCGGGGGTAGGGCGGGGCCACAATGGGGAATCGAAGTTTTACATAGAAATACCCTGGTATAGCAAAAATCTCTTAAAAATCTTCTTCTCAATACCTATCTGGCCAGAAAAGCTAAAATTTATGTTAAAGCATCATGAGGTAGTGTAGATTCTAAATTGTTCAAATCATGACCCCCGGGGGTAGGGCGGGCCACAGTAGGGAATCGAAGTTTTACATAGAAATACCCTGGTATAGCAAAAATCTCTTAAAAGTCTTCTTCTCAATACCTACCTGACCAGAAAAGCTAAAATTTATGTTAAAGCATCCTGGGGTAGTGTAGATTCTAAATTATTTTAATCATGACCCCTGGGGGTAGGTTGGGCCAAAATAGGGAACCCAAGTTCAGTATTTATTTGAAATATATGGGAAAATTCTTTTAAATTCTTCTTCTTGGGAACTACTGGGCCAGAAACGCTGGAACTTATGCGAAAGCATCTTGTGGAAGTGGTGATTTTAAATTGTCCAAATTATGATCCCCGGGGGTAGGGTGGGGTCACAAAACGTATTACAAGGAGGAAATTTGGTAAAGAACTGCATTGTCAAAGCTATTCAGGTGAGCGATGTGCGCCATGGGCCTCTTGTTTGGAAATTAATTTGGATGGTTGTGTATGCATGAAGTTATCATAAAATAATATTTTGGCGTATATGGGAATTAATATGACGTGCCATTTTATGACTAATTAATTAACATATAATTTGGACAACTTTCATGGCCAACATTTTGTTTAAGATCTCACAAGTAAGTTTCTGCTTCGAGCAAAATTATTAAGAAAGATGCGAACTATAATTCAATTGTCATTCTAAAAGGTCTTTACAATATTTGTATATTATTTTAAAGATAAGATATTGGTCCCAATTAACTTTAAGGAATTGAACTCTATTTGTATATATCATTCTTGAAACATTTTTGTGACGTAATTTTTTAATCTGGTCCAGTATTTTTTTTATTGCCCTGCATGTTGTTACCTGTTGTTTGTGTAATAAAATTTAACTTATTGAGCGGCTGCAGGTAATATTGAAATGAAAACAAACGGGCAATACAGATAAATAAACAACACTGGAAAGATTTTGCTAGATTAATCAAACAATTTAATATGAGTAGCAAAGTAAATAAATATTTACTTTTTGCAAACGGGCAATACAGATAAATAAACAACACTGGAAAGATTTTGGTAGATTAATCAAAATTAAACAATTTAATATGAGTAGTAAAGTAAATAAATATTTACTTTTTGTTTGTAATGTATACGCATATTTTGCAATTCGTTCTGTTATTCTTGCATTATTTTCTAATTGGGGAGATCATTATACAATGTACTTTACTTTGTTATGTAAATGATTATTTGTATAATTTTTTTTATCTCCCCATTCATTGTATTATTCATACTCAATGTTATTTTCAATAAATGGCATTTCACACAAATATTGTTTTGCGCCAATTTTTCCAGAAAAGAAAGCTGTAATTATATTCGGAACTTTGTAATATTTAAACGACATATACATTATTACAATTTAACAAACTACTCCATATGAAATTGGCATTTTAAAATAATCCATTCCACACTAAATGTATCACAGGAATATGGGGGTTCAATAATTCATTGTTTATTGAAAAAACAACATCTTAAATTTTGTAAACGTATCTTAAATTTGAAATCATCTACCCCTAATTTAATGGTATATTGTGAACTGGGAAGATATCCATTTTTATTAATATTTAGGTTAGAATGATTACTTTTGGGCTAAGTTAACTGCATCAAGCAATTCAAAGGTATCTTCAAAACCTCTGACATTAAATATGAACCAAAATGAAACACTGTGGTGAAAATTTGTACAAAAAATTTAAATGAATGTGGTTTATCGTATATATGGAAATGTAATACGGTTAATATCAAATCGTTCGAAAACAAAGTACGTATATCATACTCTTATAGATCAATTTTAACAATCATAGTATAGTGAAATGTCCAATTCATCAAAGCAACTATGGTTTGTTTCATTAATATTTGTGGACATCAAGTTTCGTTGATTTAGTAGAATCACAGTTTCGAGGATACGTAAATCCGAGGACAATGGTCCTTCAAGAAAAAAACTGTCTGTCATCTTTTCATATTGTCTTTCACCGTATGCTGTAGCGGGAACCATCTTGCCATTTACAATATTAAGGGTACGTTAATATTTTTTTTTCACAGTACTAACAGGTAAAAGCTCTTTCCACCCTCACGATTCTAATGGTTCAAAGTACAAAAACTGCATTTATTTTCATTTAATGTACTTTTAATTTTCCAATCATAACAAAAAATGTATAGGTCACCATATTATTTAAGCTGGGAGACATAAATAAACAGAAGTATATGTCAACATAAAAAAGTGCACATTTTCTGTGAATAGTATTATCAAAAATATGTAAAACTAGTTAAAATGTATAATTCTGATGCTGAATGTTCCTAAATACTTCCTCCTTATAAGATACTTTTGAATTGTGAATATAAGGGAAACTATTTAACATTAGAAGTACAATAAAGCAAATGTCTGAATGAAGAGACCTGAGAAGGAGTTATTGCCCTTGTCAACATTTTTTAAAGATTGAATAATTGATTAACTAAAGAAAATATGCATTTTTTTAAATTCTTTGACTTTACAATATTTATCAGTGCACATTTTGAAAAGCATTCATCTAAAAGATATTGTTCTATTAAGTATGAATTTAAACTAATAACAGTTTGTGCAAAAATCTATGACATCATAGGAGGGTGGAATTACCCTAACGCAACTGGTTATTCAAAAGTTAGAATCTTCAAGCTTTTACAACGCAGTGTTACATGTACCTTCTCCAATGTAACACTGTGGGCTGGAACAGAGAGTAATTAATAATTTCTGTCAGAATTTTTATTTAATGATAATTTATTGTTTTCATTGTGCATGTGATAATGGGGGTTGGACCCTTATATTGTTTGTTACGCCTGATTATCATCTTCTAGGAGGGATAATACCCCACTTATTGGTATATGTATATGCTGCGTTGAAAGCTCTACGTGTTTTTGTTCATCTCCGTGCAAAATATTTAAACATCTTTATACAAAAAGTAAATTTTTAGATGATTATGTACAAGTATTTCTTCATCTATTTTGATATTCTTAAAATGATTGTCTTTAAAGTCAATCTGTTGGAAAAGGGGGTGGGGGTATATGATACATATAAACAAAACACGAAGTGAACTTTTTAAAAGTTTTAATAATCAAAATGGAGGAACCAAATTACTATGAATTTTTAATTTCGTAGATCGACTCAACAACGAAATCCACGAAAATTAATGTTCCATGAATAATGACGAAACCACAATAATAACAGATTATTTAAATATACATTATCCTTTGAGAAATATACTTTTATTTTATCGTTAAAATTTCTGAGGATTTTTTTGTAAATTTAGAACTTGTAATGCCAGGCTCCCTATTGAAACAGAGAGATGGCATGGTATTCATAGAAAATTAAGACTCTGTAACCCATGTAAGTGTAAAGAAACTGGTGATAAGTTTCTGTATTTTTTCAATTGTACTGAACAAGTTTTAAAACAAGGTTAAATATTATACTCAGTATTTATCTAATTATTATAATGTAAATCCAAATGTATATAAATTTGAGAATCAGTTTAAAACCACAAAGAAGCAACAGTTGATAAAAGTTTGTAAATGTATACAAAAGATTGAGAGAGTCCCTCTCCTGATAAAATTTTCCCCACCCTATGTGCATTGTCTTATGTATTTGTATTAGTAATTGTTCTCTACAACATTAACAAGTTTTATAAGAAAAAATTAGAGTCATTTTAATTTTTTAGTAGAATCAGTGAAATCAATCTTAAATTTTGTTTCTTCGTCATGATAATTAAAATTGATTGATATATTGAATCAAAAGACTGAAAATACGAAGCATTTTTTTTTATAAACTAGTATTAGTAGATTTTATTTGTGTGACAAATTGGTGGTTGTTACTATTGAAAAGTGGTCGTCCTTCATGCAAGCACAAAATAGCACGGGGGAAAAGACATTAGAGTTCTTTCTTTTCACATACTTTAAAATAAATTATTTGTCAAATTTTATTTTTTTAAATTCAATAACGGGATTAAAGGAATCAAATATGAACAAGATAAAATTTACAATACATTTTGTTTTAAAATATAATTTTTAATGAACGTTTAGAATTGCGAAATTTGTTTTCTCTCAGAGCGGGGGATTGACTTGTCCGTGCCTTTTACACCCTCATTATTCGCAAAATAATGACTGGACCGCTAATCGATCTCATTTAATCATAATTCCATCGGACAAGACGTTAAATGGTGCCCCATGTCAAAGATGAAACCCCCCTTGGCACGTGAAAGATCTTTCTCTGTACTTCGAAAATGAGTAGACTCACTGGAGACCGCCAGAGAAACCAAAATCTTTCAAAATCCGATTATTTTAACTGATAATCTGCCGAACATGGCTGAAAAATTGCCGACTCGGCGTTAAAAAATATACAATCAATCAACAATTTATCATCAATTTATTTATCAATAGACTAATTTGAATAAATTCTTCCTACACAGAACACGTATTTGCATATCGATTTAAGTGAGAAGCATGAATTTATACGATGGTTTACACATTTTGCCACAAATGTTGTTTAAATAGGTCAAAATTCCACATTTATTATTTTCAAAACAAACAATTTTTATGAACAATTTCATGATTATCAATTAAGCACATGGAAGAAGTACTTGTTACGGTATATGCTTAAATGAATTCAAATATTTTCACTCGACCATCTTCTTCACCGACAAAAAATTTGTTGCCGTCTACCTGAAATTTTATGCACTGTGGTTGCTGTACTCCTTCCAGAATCCGGAGCTGTTCACCGGCTGGCGACAGTATATGAATATTATTGCTGTCTTTGCCGTTTACGTATATATTTTCAAATTTATCGAGTGTCAAACCATATGGTCGTTGTAGTTTTTCATGTGTATATGAGAATAGAACGTATCCCGTTTTGTCTTGTTTCCTCACTATGTATTGATTATAACTAGAGTAAATAATATTTTCTTCCGCGTCCATTGCTACATCATAAACCGAAGACAAGTCAGACGAAATTCTCTGTGGTTCATAATTTTTATTTAGGACTTGTAATTCGTCTTTAGATCCCAGTGCTATAGTACTACCTGATTTCGATATTCCACAACACCTGAATGAGAGGTTAAAGTTTCTTTCAACTGTAAAAGTCTTAATTTCCATAACTAGAATTTGGTTTGCATCATCAAGTGTCACATGCATGTGATTTTCTCCAAAGAGTTCCATGTCCCAGGGTGAGTGTTCAAGGGACACTTCTTTCAAGACAGTCCCATCTGCTTTACATTTTATAAGTCTTTTTCTTCTATTGTCAGCCAAGATAAGTTCACCATTTTTTAAGAAACACCCTCCCCTAAAATCAGCACCATCAATCTTAAATTCGTATATCATTTGAATTTCTTGACTTTTTAAAACTGTTTCATTTAGATTTACAGGTCTCTGTCGTTCATTTGCAGTAATTTTTGAAAGACAAGTTAAATTAACAAGACTTTTAACATCGTCATGCATTGTGGTTTGGATTTCGGCTTCGAACTTTGAAATTCCAATTTTTTGCAAATGTTTACATATTTGTTCCAATTTAGCATAAGACAATGCAAAAACTGATTTTGATGAATCAGTGCTTGTTAAATTCTTTAATGTTGCTTCTTTCCAGTGACGTAAATAACATTGTTGCTGTTCTAAAGAATTTATTGACTTCTGTAGTTTTGCTTTGGCATCTTTTGATACATTTGCTATTTCATTTAAATGTTTTTCTTCCAATCTTTCAACATTCTTTATGATTGCCTCTTTTGACACGGAAACTTCTTCGGTAAATTTGTCCTGTACATTATCAATATCAACCATATTAGCCTTTTCTTCAGCAATGACTTTTTCAAGAATGGATTCAAGCTGATTTACATCCTCTTGCAAACGCTTGACTTTCTTAGATTCCATTAGTTTATCAGCAACTATCTCTAATGAATTAAGGTTCATACAACAACTATGATCTTTTGTTATACAAAGGACACAACATGGTTTGAAATGAGTTTCGCAGAACAATTCTAATTTTCTTCCCTCATGATCTTCACAATTTTCCAGTTGTTGCGTTAGCGGTAAAAGATCACTTATTTTATCCAGAGACACTTTCTGATGACTACGAGAGGGTCTGAATTTTAAGTGACTCTGAAAACAATTCTCACACATGGGTTCGGAGCAATCTTTACACCAACTGCCCGACGTATGCTCTTCTCCTTGTAAATTACAAGGAGTGCACGGAATTGAATTCAGAAATGCACATTTTTCTGCGATGGATCTTATAAATTGATTTTCTGGCAGTTTATCTGCCCATTCATTTGAGGAAAATTCTCCTACTTTTCCTGGAGCTGGGACAAATATTCGACATAACGGACATAGAAATCCAAGCTGGAATCCGTCAGAATCACTACATGAAGATTTAATATGAGTCTCTAAACATCTTTCACAGAATGTATGTGTGCAGGGTAAATACCTTGGTGATTTAAAATGCTCCAAACAAATAGAACACACCGTCAAATCACCTTGAAGATTTGGAAGCGCAGTTGCCATACCCCCTGTTGGTGTTGTGTTGTTTAAAACGAAAGTACAATTCTTGATAATGATTTTTTATCTTTTTTGTAATGCTGAACCCGATGATTTTTTTTTCCCTCTGACGATCATTTGCATGCGAATTCCTATCAAAAAATTCTATTGCCTTATAGAGCAAAGGTCACTGTGAAAGGTAACATTTGAGCAAATTACAATATCCTCCCCGCTTGTGGGAGGTTATATAGTGATTGAGGTGTTTGTCCGTCTGTCTGTACTCCGTCCGTCCGTCTTTTACGCTTTGAAGGTACTCATCTCTTATCTGAAACTCCTCTTTTACCACTGAATGGAATTTAATAAGAGTTCTTATATAATGCAATTGTGCACCTCCTATTTTACTTTTCGATCTGATACATCCCGAGTTTCCATAGCAAAACATTTACACTGTCATTCTTTCTATAATATTGAAGGGCACCCATCACTTATCCGCAACTCTTCCTATACCACTTGAAAAATACTTTCAGAGATTCTTTAATACATAATGCAATTGTGCATCTCCTATTTTACTTTTTGATATGGCACTTATTTCAGGTCTCCCAGAGCAAAACATGGACTTTGCCATTACAATCAAATGGGAGGCGGGGGTATCATTTAGTGATATCGATGCTCACAGTACCTCTAGTTTCATACAAACTTTAAAGATTTATAATCATTGCTAATAAAGAAGCAGACTAGTCCATATTCACCATCCTGACCAGAAAGAATTCCTTCTCAGTTTTATACAAGCCAAAAATTCTCGACAATTTTCCACAGCAATGGAAACAATAAAAGTTTGCTTGTTGCAAGTCACGCCCCCTCCCTTTCCCACTACGCTGGAGATCGACAATTACAGCTAGGCAGCTTGATCCAAGTTTCTATTTTTTCAGTTAAAGAAAAAAAACTTCTACCACATGTACAGCTCTTAATATGTCCTGAAGATCTGTGGAAGCCATTATTTATCTAGAAAGTACATGAATTATTCTAGGCGCAGGTATCAACAGTTTAAATTTGACTGGAAGAAAATATAAAAGAATTCTCAAAAGAAAGTAAATACAGTGCAGTAATCTTCTCAATAATCGTGCCCGTTTATTTTCACGATAAAAAAATTTTTTTTTTAATTTGAGCCCATAGTGCCGAGTGTAGAACTACCTTAAGTAACATAGTTGTGTATGAAAAAAATTACATAAATTAACATTTTACATATGGCCATAAAATTTCGAAAATAGGTCACCATGACCTACTTTTTGATTGATGTTCTCCAAAGACCCAAGATGCATTAACTGACAAAGTTTGTTGATAAGAAGCCAATTATTACCAGAGATATTTGAATATAGCCATAACATTTCAAAAGTAGGTCATAGTAACCTACTTTTGATTGACATTGTTTGAGGACCCAAGATACAACAACTGACAAATTTTGATGACCATAGGTCTGCAAGTATCAAATTCAAGCTCTTTAAACAATTTGAAAACAATGACTGCAAAATTTAACCAGAAGTCTCTGTTGAGACTGTAGCTCTACTGATTTGTACTTATAATAAAGAGAAAAGTAGCAGTTGATACTTAAAACTTTACAAAATCAATAAATAGAATAATGATCCTTGATTAAGTCTCTTTTTGAGGCAAGATTGCAAAAAGACTACAACTGTATGAGTAGCTTTTAATAAAATTTTACAGAATTTTCAATTTAAATTTCTAAGGCAACATAAATCATCAAAATCAAAAACTCACTTACAATGCACATATGAATTTACATGTATATATATGTGCGTTACTTGGATGTTATGTTTTTTATGCTTGTGAATGTAGATTTACTCTTTTGTGCTTAGAAAAGATGTACAATTATGTTTAAGTTGTTGAAATTTCCACTATGGATATAGGTATTGTTAGGAATAAAAGAAATAATCGGTTGAATTTATCACTGAAAGTGATACTATAAGAACCAGACCACATGGTTATAAAGAGATTTTTACTACAATAAGAGAAAGTTGGACCTGTGTATACTGGTGGTAGGTAAAAAAGACACTGGAACTGAAGTATCTGAAAAACCAAAATGTAATATTCATCTTTCATATCTTATTAATTCTGATTAATATTTATTTCAATCCCGTGACATACTATTTCAAAAAAATAATGATCGTTTTTTTTAAGTTGGATAATTTCATTCAAAAAGTCTAGTACTTCCCAGTACATGTGTTGACCTTTCCTCTTTTTTGACCTGATTTTTAATTAGATTTTTCTTTTGTTAAATTAATTTGGCCAGTTGCGTATGCAAGAAATCGTCATGAAATATTATATTTTGATGTACGAGGGTTGTCCCAAAAAGTCGAAGACAATGTTAATAACTTTTTTAACACGCAACCAATACTAACCAAATTTTGCAGATACAAAATACTTTCTATTTTCTTTAAAATAGTAAATTCTTAAATATATATCTTTCATTTTAATTGTATTGGGACGATTTATATATTAATAATTCATGATATTTGTCTATAAAATATTAGTATGTATCTCTGATACCTTTCGTAAATTTGTTTAATGTTTTATGTATCTCGTGTACCATTAAACCATTATGTTTTGTTTGATCAGTTGGTCAGTTTAACATTTTGAGAATGTTTTTCCAAACTCATGTTTTTCTTCTAGATCTTAATTTGACAGTTTGAATACTTAATGACATCTGTGAAATTTCTTTCATAACATTGTCAGATATATGACCAATATTTGTCTTTTCATCTTTAATTACAGCCCAGAGGACCGGGCTGTTCTATGCATATAAGCTTAATTTTTGGTGTATGGAATTGAAGTGGGAGAAGCTATTTAGAATTAAACGTTATTAATACATTAAATAATATACTACATCAGAATTTTCTTTCCCTTTATAATTACGAGATACACAGTTTATTTATTTCCATAAAGTGCATTTTTGAAATGTTATGTTTTCATATTAAAATATATCAAGTTGCTTATCATTAACTATTAAAATCAAAGTACTGAAAGTACTGAATCGAGGTGACGTCTTCCAGAAAAATTTGAAATTCACCCCCAAGTAACTGGCATATACAAAAATTTTAATCTAGGAGAAATCCCAATGAAAATCACTGGAAAGAAAAAAGTGACCAACACGACAATGCATTTTGTAACTTATATGATGTATAAAAAGTGAACTTAACTATACTATACTAACTATACTAAAGTGAATAGTTATCCTTCAGTACCCGTCACCATAGGAGGAAAATACCTCGCATTTCTCTTCAAATTATAGTTTGATTTGTTTCTTGTTATACAGTAGCTGCAGATCTGTAGCTCTCTGAATAATTTGACAGACCGGAGAGCTACAGTGCCACCCATTGAAAAACTGTTTATTTATTGCACAAAAAGAAGTGCGCTGTTTCTCTGTTTATTTCTCCGTGTTTTTAAACTGTCATCTCAAAATATTACTAACCATGTGTTCCTAACATATTCTTTCACTGTTTTCACAACAAAACGTTCCTTAAAATTATTTTTAATAGCCCTCCTGGTCCTGAAATTGAGATCATCAAACATATCGTCTATTTATAATGCAATTTTCGTTTGCAAAATAATTCAATCCAACGCAGTTCGTGCAGATGTCAACTACGAGAGTACTTCATAGAGGAGTAAGGAATTTTTTTAAAATGTATCTTTTTTGCGATTGAGGTAAGAATTTGGAAGAACTAATCCAGAACTAAGCACAACTTTTTGTGCGCAATAAATATACAGTTTTTTTTTTTCAATGGATGGCACTGTAGCTCTCCGGTCTGTCAAAATATTTTTTTGAAGAGATACAGATTTACAGCTAGTTACACAGTAATAAGGATGAACATTATATTTATTGATATTAACAAAAAAGTGCAGACACTGGGCTTACATAAAACACTAAATAAAATAAGTATCCTGCCAGTATCATTTTGTCCAATGTATCCTAACTCTGTCACTAAGGTTCTCTACAATATGCCAACGTATTAAAGAACCCCCCTTAGTTAAACTTTTCATGAACTTTGTATGAAAAAAATAATGTACGTGTCATATATTTTTGAAATTGCAGCATGAAGGCTCTGGGGCCATAAAACTTAGATGAGCTCACTCTTGATCTCAGTCTCACTTTTCTACAAATACATGTACTAGTAATTCTTTATAAGTAAAAGTGAAATTAGATCAAAAGTGCCCCGGAGCAAGGAAACAACATTTAACATTGATGCAGCTAGCATTTCATACGATCAAACACCCTCTCTTTAGTATTTTTTTTTGCCAAGAGCAGGCCCAGTTTGACATTTTAAAGAAAAGTATAAATTCTGCATTTTAAAATTTGACTTTCCAAATAGTAGATTAGGGGATTGAATTCGCCCATCAAATCAAAATCTATATTATTAGCTTTAAGATTTAAAATATAACTATCAAATTAAAATACTTAGCATAAGGTACATGTATAGTTTAAAAATATATTATTTCAAATTTTCCAGTTACAAGGCATATAAATGTCTACTGTAACAGCTTGAAAACAAATTATTCGCTATTATCAATCTAAAGTGTTTACATCCTCTTCAAAGTTCATTTTCAAATTCCTTATAATAACTTTCTTTTTTGTAAATTCTTAAAATTATGAATACCGGTAACAGAAACCACATAATAACAACTTTATTACAAGTATAAATTATAATGTAAACTAAATTAATAGCTCTAAAATTTACATGCATGTCTCTATTTACAGCATGATTCAATCGTTTTAACAATAGAAATGATCTACCTTCGGTATGACATCAATAGATGTTTAGCTGTGTTAACGTTGCGTTTTGTCGTGAATAACGTGTAACAATGTAATTTTTCATATGCGGAATCCTAAATTCTAGAGGAGTTCCAACAGAGTATTCGATGAAGTGGTCATTACTCATTAGCATGTAGCGAAATAGGTACAGGTGCCCCGCTGTTATTCACCTTTTTCAACAGTGATAGCACCAAACAGATTTATAAGATCGGGACGATATTTTTAGGTTCTAAACAGATTTTTTTAATGAATTACAAAAACAGAAGGGTGAAAATAACTTCGCTTTTGTGATAATTTACGGTGAAGTGCGAAAACAACTTCGTTTTTATAATAATTTACGGTGAATTTTGGAGCTCAATGGGGACTATTGCGCCGCAAACGCCTCTATGTTAACCCCAAATTTATTTAATTGCATGTTTCAATTCAAGCAGAACGCTTCCTTCTGTTTTGTTTCAGTGTATACTGTTCTGTTCTCTCCCTTGCCTGCGATCGACTTTCAATACACATACAGGTAGGTCACGATCCCTGCTGCAGCCAGTTGTTTACATTTTACCCTCGCTAAAATAGTTCAGAGCGTAGGGATACTTCATATCTTATTCCCACTCAGGAACTTGTATTTAGTTTTTGTAAATCCATAAAAACACTACTTCCTGCTTGGAAATTAAATTAAATGCATTGTAGATCTTGTTTTGCGACTGAAATTCTGATTTTAATACATGTATAATCAGGGGACTATATTTCTTAGAGAACTGATAAAAATTAACGTTTTAATATTTCCAATCAATCTTGCAAGTGCTATTGTTTACATATTAGCAACCTATCTCTGATTTGATCCTTGCCTTCTAAGGTATCATATTTTAACAACAAGATTACTGATCTGTCCCAAAGATCGAAGATCAATAACAAAATGTAAATGGTAGTGATCAAAGGGGTCCGCCATTAAGCTATAGAGCAGCTATCGAGGCTGACTTACGTCACCTCGAAAAACGACAGTTCCCTCTTTTTACAATATCAAATTTTACAGATCGCATTAGCTAGTCTTCGATTTCTCTTGAATTGCAGCTCAAAGTTATTCAATCAAACAAATGAAAATCAATTATCAAGTTATTTTATAGTTTCAATATACTTAGTAATTGTATTTTGTTTTTTGGCAAAGAGACCGATCTCATCACTTTCCTTTCGAAAATTTTAACTAAAATTAGAGTAAAGCGAATCCTGAAATTATAAACTGATGGAATAAGAACAAAGACATATAGTAAATATACAATTTATTTAATTAACAAGTTTTTTCCATAAATAATTAGGCCTATTTTACTTCACAAGATTTTATACTTAATGTATACAAGATAAATGACAAAATGAGGAATACTTTGGTCTCTTCGGTATGTACGTGTATGCTAGAATGAGTTTATTAGTTTACTATATTATTCAATATTATCAAATGTAAGAACTACTGTAAAATCACTTATTTCATAGGGACGAATTTTCGAGGTTTGAGGAAAAAATACATGTATTAGTTTGTGAGGATTTGATTTCGATGTTTAAGAACGTTTAGAAGTAAAGCATACGAAATTTTACTTTTCGTGGTTGTCATAAATTCATGGGTCTCTTCATACCTTGAAAACAACAAAAATAACCCCCCACCCCCACCCCCCCCAAAAAAAAATTTCACAGTATTTTACTCATTTATCGAGAAGTTGTTAATTCAAATATCTTCACTTTGCCTCTACTTTCACCAACAAAAAATCTGTTGGTACCGTCCTGGAATTTTATGCACCTTGGGTTTTCCACGCCTTCTAGAATTCTTACCTTCTCACCACTTCTGGATAATATATGAATATTGTTGCTCCTGCTTCCATTTACATAAATAAATCCTGCTCGATCTATTGTTAATCCATAAGGGCGTTTCAGATCCTTATTTTCATATGTGAACAAGATGTTCCCTTCCATATCTTGTTTTGTGACTGTGTCTTTTGAGTAGCTTGTGAAAATGACATTGTTCTCACTGTCTATTTCTACGTCGTCAGTATTTTCTAAATAGTTTATAGACTTGTCTTTTGCAAAGTTTTGAAAAATTTCCACAGAATCACGAGCCCCAATAGCAATCGTGCATCCAAGCATCGATATTCCATAACAGTGACAACCAACATCCACAGTTTCCTTAACTTCAAACAAATCCGAAGCAAGTTTTACGATTTTCTTTTCTTGAGGAAGTGATACAAGTACTTCTTTCTCACTGTTGGAACACACATCCCACGGGGATCCTGGTAAATATAACTCTCTCAAAACAACACCATCAAAATTACACAAAACACACCTTTTCATGTCTGCTAATAATAATTGGTCATCTTTATAAAATATACCACCATGAAACCTAGCAGCAGGAATCTCAAATTCCGAGATCTTTTTTACCGTAGCATTTTTCATGTTGTAATAATCTTGCGGTACTAATGATTTATATTCCTGTACAAATATTTCAGCAAGTTGACATGAATCGAGCAGGTTTCGTAAATTATCTAGTAATTTGGTTTCTATATGAATATTTAACTTTGCATTGTCCAGATTTATCAAATGTTCATGAATTTGTTTCATTTTGCAATATGACAAAGCTAATTTATTTTTTGACGATTCTTTATCTGACAAATTCTTCTGCAATGACTCTTTCCAATATTGAAGAAAAAGTGGCCTCTGCTCAAACGAATCAATGGATTTTTGAAGCTTTGATTTAGATTCCTTTGAGGCTTTTGTGAGTTCATTTAAGTGTGTTTCTTCCAGACATTTAACAGCCTCAATGATTTTCGAGGACATCTTCGAAATTTCTTTTGAAAAATTGTCAGAAAGATCATCGATCTCATCAATGTTAGTCTTTTCTTCTCTTATTATTCTTTCGAAAAAGTCTTGTAATTGCTCTACATCATCTTGCAATATTTGAACCTTTGAAGACCCAATATAATTTGTGAGTTCATCTGAGAATTCCTCTATCTGACAGAAACACCTGCAGCTAGGATGTTCTTTTGCTACACAAACGGAACAACATGGAACAAGATGAGCTTCGCAAAACAATTCCAATCTTCGACCATCGTGATTCTCGCAGTTTTCTAGAACTGACGCAGGATACTCATACATATTGGACATTGGCTTTTGCATATCAGTGAGTAAAGATACTTCATGATGACGAGATGGACGTGCTTTTTTGTGACAGTTAACACATTCAGCACAAAGCGCCTCAGAACATTCCTTACACCAGCTATTAGCTTTCACCTCCTCACCGTCTTCGTCACAAGGACTACACAGAATGGCCCCCAAACTCGAATAATTTTCAGCAATTGTAGCAATAAATTTGTTTTTAGGGAATCTGACTGCCCAATCATTATAAGAATACAGAGCCATTCTACCTGGTGCAGGTATGAACACGCGACAGAGAGGGCAAGGAAATCCAAGTGGTGAATCGCGCCCAGAACATAAGGATTTTATATAAGTCGATAAACAATCTTGGCAAAACGTGTGTGAACACGGTAAACATCTTGGTAATTTGTATTGTCCCATGCATATAGAACATACCGCCAAACCGAAATTTTCTCCCTCTTCCGTGTTTGCCGTTGCCATATCTTTTCGGTGAAATTGTTTAAACGAAAGTAAGAAAAACATTCGTGTATCATGAACCCGATTGAAAATTAATACAAAAAACTACATCTGCAGAACTATAGCTCTCCGAAAAAATATTTTGACAGACCAGATAGCTACAGTGCCACCCATTGAAAAAAACATATATATATTGCGCACAAAATTTGCGCTTGATTCTACATCAGTTTTTCCAAATTCTTTACTCAATTGCAAAAAAGCTAAATTTCAAACAATTCCTTACTTCTCCATCAATACCTCTCCTAATTGACATCTGCACGAAGCACGTTAGACAGAATTATCTTTCAAACCAAAATGGCAATGTAAGTAGACGAAATTTTCGATGATCTCAATTTCAGGGCTAGGAGGGCTACTAACATCAATTATAAGCAATGTTTTGTTGTACAAACAGTGAAAAAATATGTTAGAAACACACGGTTAGTAATATTTTGAGATGACGGTTTAAAAAACACTAAGAAATAAATCGAGAAACAGCACACCTTTTTTGTGTGCAATAAATATACAGTTTTTTCAATGGGTGGCACTGTAGCTCTCCGGTCTGTCAATTTTTTTTTCGAAGAGCTACAGTTCTGCAGCTACATCAAGAAGAATTTGCTCTTTCTGATGAAAATTTATATAAGATCGATAACTGACCCCAGTTTTTATACGAAATTAGGGGGAAAACTTTGTTTTTTAATAATTTGATAGCATTTATTTGCTTTACTTTGTATAAATGTAAGATGAAAAGTAGAAAACAACATGAAAAATTCTCCGAAAAAAATGTTCTACATAGACGGTACTGAAATCTATGCTTTATATTTAAATGATGTCCTTAGTAATATTGCTCAGATAAGAAGTAATATTTATCACGGTTTAGCTGATTTTGTTCGTTATTTAGTAATATTTCATGTAAATTAGTTGAATCTGATTGGTCGAGAAACATTTGTTAAAAAACACTATCACCCGCTGAATAATGAAGCCGCGTCCTCCAGTGTAGCAACAGTCAACACTGCTTGACGACGGGTATGGTTGTCCGTTCTACTCACAATTATTTATTTTCACTCCACTAAAATTATTTTTACTGCAGTAAAAATAAAACACTGGTCATTGCTACTCACAATTAAATATTTTTACTCCAGTAAAATTATTTTTACCCCAGTTAAAATCATTTACTTTGTCACTGAAGTAAGAATACTTTATGGCCACATTACTCACAATTAATTCATTTTACTGCAGTAAAAATATAACACTGACCATCTAACTCACAAATAAATTATTTTTACTGCATTAAAAAATTAACACTGGCCATTTCTACTCACAATTAAATATTTTTACTGGAGTAAAAATCAACCAATAGCAAAGTATGTTATGAAACTTAAAACAAGGAAAATAGAGGCATGACATACGTAAGACATCACAAATAAAAGGAAAATATGAAAGAGGAATTTGTAAGAAGAAATAAACACACAGTCAATGACTGTGTGCGTTTAGCAGCTTTTTCCTTCTTATGTGTCTTTTTTCTTTCCAAAGTTATAGTATTTTTAGTCTAGATAATTTCGAATGTATCGTATACAGTGTAGGTATTGTAGACATATGTTCAAACAAGATAAGAAGATATAGATCAATATCAGTTACTTTCTGATATCTATATTCTGTGCAAAAACGAGGGGAAAAATAATATGATAAAGTAAAAATTTAATCAACGATAATACACCTCTAGGCTTAGCACACAATACTGTGTATACATGTGGTGTAAATGTAACTCAGGCTACATTGTAAATATAGTCTTTAGGAAAATTGAATAAAGAAAGATAAGTATATAAAGACCAAGTTAAACCTAAAGGATTTCTTAAATAATTATGTATTTAATCCAGGATTTCTCTAGTGGTTTCAGGTAATTTGTATTCTCACTCAATAATTCTCCCATTTACCCCAAAAGGTCTTCTTTGAAATGAAAATAAAAAAAAATAATTGTATTGTAATGGTGAAATTTGTATTTGTTTATAGCTAGATTAAATATTGAAGTATGGCTTAAATGTTTGTAAATGAACTATATTTTAGGTCAATTTCGTTGTTGACCTGTGGGTCACCGAATTTCTTACATGGACTGTGATTGGTTAATTTTTACTTCAGTAAAAATATTTAATTGTAAGTAGATATAGCCAGTGTTATATTTTTACTTCAGTAATAATATTTTTACAGGAGTAAAATTAATAAATTGTGAGTTAAATGGCTACATTGCATTTTTACTCCAGTAAAGGAGTAAATTATTTTTACTGGAGTAAAAATATTTTTACTGGAGTGAAAATATTTAATTGTGAGTAGCAATGGCCAGTGTTCTATTTTTACTACAGTAAAAATAATTTTAGTGGACGAAAATAAATAATTGTGAGTAGAACGGCCAACCATAGAAGGGTGATATTCCAAAAAATAGCGACTGCGCAGAATTTATGCGCGCACGGTTCACTATAATATGTATTTGTATTAAACATTCAGTATAATATAATAAATATTGCATGTAAGTTGAGTGTAACATTAACAATTTTCATCCCTCCAAAACCATTGTCAACCCAGGCTGCGCCTCAGTTGACAATGGTTTTCTTGGGGTGAAAATTTTCAATGTTACACTCAACTACATGCAGTACTAGTATTTATATACTAATATCTAATGTGGTGTTAATATTGATACTGTGATATGTTTGCAACCTGTTATGATTAAAAAAAAAACAGAAAAAAATTGAACCGAATGAATTGGCTGTTTCTCATATACATGCATGTATAGATGTTTGTAACGTAAAATACCAAGATAAATGACAATTTCTTGGTATTGAAATGCATTCAAATTGAATATGAAATAAATACTTATGAAACGGGTTTGGATTCTATTCTATTAAAATTGCATTTTATATTGGGGTAATAAGCAGTCAATTTTAACAAAGGAGTATATAAGACATGAATCTGAAGAACAACAAAACCAGTATTTGTCTTATTTGTTCGGAATCATCTTCAGGTTGTGTAGTTACAAATTTGTTTAAATCATACAGTGAAGGACTTTTAGGTAAGTGTTGGATAGCTTAGATTCAAATTTGTTTAGACAAAAGGCCATTGGGAAGAGGTAGAGGCTGCAATGGGAAAGTTTAACAAGTGAGATATACAATGTATATATATATAGAAAGAAATCCTTTCATAAGTTACAAGTCCACTATAATCAATTAAATCACCTTCTTTAAAATGATTTTTTTTAATGTTATAAGCCCCGGAGTTAATACTGGTCTAAATTTTACATACTGCATTTTCTCCAGAACAGCAGGGTCATGTTGATTGTTTTATTATTAATGCATCCCGATGCTGTGTGGATTCAACTTTGATTTTACCACGGATCCCTGTTGTCTAGACTTTAGTGTACGATATGGAGCTAATCTTTTGAAATGAAAGAGTGATCTTTTAAATAAAATCTATTTTATTGAGAACAGAATAGCTGGTCCCAAATTCACAGGTGAACGTTGTAACCATGGGTCTTTTGCTCTTTGGTATGAGGGAAACTCCCTAGTAAATTCATCCCTGGAGTTATGCTTTTTAGACGTACATAGACTCTCGATTTATCTGTTGTAGCTGTTATTACAAAGGCAAAAGAAAAATAAACGTTAAAACAAAATATATTTTCAGAAACTTTGTGGAAATATATTTTGTTGCAGATAAACCAAATCAATCATGGCTATCTTATTTAATTCTTTGCGTCACACGAGGGAGAACACATAGACTGAGATTTCAGAGATAAAATGTTTACTTACAAGACAGTATTTTCATTATTTTCCATGGGTGCCACTTACACTTTGTTGCAAAAATTAAGAATTAATGAGATGGGAAAATAAGTAACATACTCTTTACTGACTTATTTTTTCAGTTTTAGTTATTTTATATCGCAATAATCGGGGGAGCCACACTATAAAAGAGGCACAAGTTTCTACTGAGGGTAATAGCTTTTGCCTCAATAACAATTACGACGTCAAAAATTGATATCGATTTTTTGAAATAAAAGACCAAGTGTAATCAATAAGCATCAATAATCTTCAACCGACGAGCAAGATTATAAAAATATGAAAGATCTTATCAAGGTAGCTAGTCTCGGATCTCTCTTGAATCGCAGATCAAAAATAATTTTCAAGAGATAAAAATCAAATTTAATACGAATGTAAGTCTTACTAAAGTCTTTAATCTATGTTACACAGAGGAGATCGATAATCTATCATTTTCCCTTGAAAGGATGCAGGTTTAATTAATTAGAATGTAATTAGTATTTTTAATCTTTTATCTATATATATAAGGTATCGTATTTTTCTGCGAATTCCACATGGACGAATAATTAGTTTTACTTCAATGCAATAAGGATTATACAGGCTTTTTTGTCCTTTTTCAATCAAATCTTTTTCTTCATGTAGTTCCAATCCCAAGTTCTTAGTCTCCCAAATTCTTATTCTCCATTGTAAATTGGGAATGTGTTTCTATATTCATGACATTCATTACATGTATAAATGACTTGAAAAGTAACAAATAAATTACTGCACTCGATTTTTGTTTGATTGTTCGTTTTTTAACCTCTGTTTTTCTCGTATCTGTACATTGTTTCACTTGTATAGTTTATGCAAAAAGCTGGCAGTTCGCAGTAATTAAGCAGTTGCCAATAAGCAGTTGGCTGTCGTATATGGAATTCTATAATTAGGAAATCTTTAAAATTTTAACAAAACGTTTGACTTTCAGTAACAAACTTCTCAACCCAGTCGTAGATGGTTATTAGTTTACTCTTATCAAGAAATCCCCCCACACTGCATACAGGCGCGGATCAAAGAATTTTTTCCGGGTGGAATCCACCAGAGTAAAAAAAAATTCCAACCCAGAAAAAAAGGTCCAAGCATTTCCCAAACGTGAAAAAACTTATTTGAAAATTCAGGGGGGGGGGGTCTCTAGATTCGTGATTGGCATATTTTCCTTAACTTACCATTAGCACTATTTCAGTTTCCAGTAAATTAATTACTTTTTCTATATATACTTAAAAGATATATTGGATATTTTGAAATGAACAAGAGTTTCTTGTTTAAAAATGTATCAAATCTGTATGTCTTCTTATTTGTTGATTTATTTTTATCTTCTTACGAATCACCAGCAGATATTACAATTTTATAAATAATTTTTAACATTATTGCGTATAAGCTGCATTAACGTTCATAAAATAAAATCGATGAAACATCTTCACTGCATGTGTAAGATATGTAGCCATTTTATGTAATACATCGTATTGTAAATAGGCCATTAGTTGAGTTTCTTTTCTATATAATTACATGTATTTACATTCACTGAGTTTACTATAGCCTGTGAATGCTTTATGTATGATATTTCACCTGTCGGATAGAATGAGTACTTGTTGCTAATCTCCTTTTCATAAATGAATTAATCTATTGATATTCACATCTCCCTGAGCACAAAGTTAATCGATGCGACATTTTGTATATAATATCAATATATTAATTTCTTTAATTCTCCATAACGCTTGGATAGATGAAACATATGGAGATAATGAACAGTATTCCACATCAAAAGTCCATAAAACAATACGAAATAGGAGCAGAGCAAACACGGAGCTCCAAAACGTCAGAGGTGGGATCAGGTGCCATGGATATAAAAATTGTAAAGAGTGGTAATTTCGACGTTTGATAAAATATATTTATATATATTTGTTAATAGTATTTTAAAATATATCTTCAGTTAAAGAAATTGAAGAAAAAAAAAATTATATATGCTTTACTCCATTCGACAAAACAAATTTTAAAAAAACAACAGCCGCATATAAAGTACCACTAGCTATATACTGTTTTTGAGAATTATTTTTTGCTCCCTGTTTTGATGAAATTTATTCATTGTCTCCCATATATTGTAATACAGGTAATATTGGTTTTTGGCCTCCCAGTAATTGTATCTCTTAGATTTTTAGGTAACATGAATCACTCCACTAAAATTAGTGCAATCTTTAAAAATCTTTTTCTTGGACATCAAGCAGTCAAACTGTTGGTATTAATGCAATGAGCATTGAGTCCTCTACCAAAATTGTGAAATTTATGGCCCCTGGGTCATGGGTTCTAGTGCTAGGGCGGGGCTATATAGATTATATAGTGAAAACGCATCATTTCTTTTAAAATCTTCTCTGCTCCTGGGTATCAAATTAACTAATTAAGAACAAAACCATGATGAGCAAGAGTGCCTCTTCCAAAATTGTGAATTTTAATGCCCCAGGGTCAGGGTTCTGGTGTTAGGGCGGGGCTCTATTGATTATATAGTGAAAATGCATTAAATCTTTGAAAATCTTCTCTGCTCCTGGGTATTGAATAAACTAAGTACATATGAGCAAGAATACCTCTTCCAAAATTGTGAATTTTATGGCCCCAGGATCAAGGGGTTCTGGTGTAAGGATGGGGTTCTATTGATTATATAGTGAAAATACATGAATTCTTTGAAAATCTTCTTCTCTGCTCCTCGGTATTTATCAAAAATTTTTGATAAGCAAGTGTGCCTTTTCAAAAATTGTGCCTTGTGTGGACCTAGGGTCAGGGGTTCATGTGTGGTAGGGCCACTGCTGATTATTGCTGAATAATATTGATTAATTGAAATGCATTTATTTGTCCCCCACCCTGTCTATGGGTATTAAGTACTCAAACTAAGCGATTGCGAAGTGTACAGTTTTGATGAGCAATGGTGCCTCTTTCAAAATTGTGAATGCCATGACATCTAGCTTACAACATGAACCAAATTCAATCATTGGAAAGTTGTTGCATGATGTTCAGGTGACCTATAAGGCCCATGGGCCTCTTGTTTCAGATATTAGCCCTACTATATATACAAAGCAGAAAAAAATTAACACAATTTTCATTACATCTAATCATATCTTATCATATTCCTTGGCTTCTATAGTTGAAAGGGGTCGTCTTGTTTCAGTTCTTTATATTGTGTGTTTTAAGGCTCCATCCATTAAAAAATTCTTTCGTTGGATACCTGTGTTTTATAATATTCAGTTGCATATTAAAAAAAACAACAAAATATACATTTGATCATGTTACTGAATACTCGTATCAGACTCAGAATAAACTGCTAATAGAGAAAAATTAACACTGCAACAATTAAGTTCGAACAGGACAGAGTTCGGACTTTTAGGTACCCTGGATTTTGGTGAGATTTTTTATCCTGGCCTCATCATGTCAATCTTAAGTTCCACAAGTTTTCTTACATGTATAACTTTTTATAAAACTAAAAAAAACTAAAAATCCCATTGGAGAATTTTTTATCCCACCCAAAATTCCAACCAAATCCCATTACATGCCAAAACATAGGACATGTTACATCTTGTTTTGGCACTAGAAATTAAACATCATTTTTTAAGGTTAATTATCTTAATTTCTTATTTATTTAAGAGGTGATTGTGGGATAATTTCTCTTATGACATGCAAACACCTGGGATAAATCCTAGCTTCATCAATTAGTGGGATTTTTGTCCTGCATGGGAGAAATAATCCCATTTTGAAACAACCAAGGGATTTTTCTCATATGGGACAAATTTTCCCACAGTACTTTTTCTCCCATGGGATTTTGGTGGGATTTCAGGTGGGATAAAAAAATCCCGTTATTCTCCAATGGGATTTCAAGTTTTGGGAGAAGTTAATAAGAAAACTACAATATTGTGGAACTTAAGATTGACATAAGGTCAGGATTAAAAAATCCCATCAAACTCCAGGAAATATATGTCCTTTCAAAAGTATACATAAACTTCCTGACTTATATGTCGCAGTGTTAAATTAAATATCAGTGTCCACGGAAAAGGAAGAAACCACTTATATAAGTATCCTTGCAATGCTAAGAAACGACATTGTTATGGTACTAGGTTAAAACAATTGGCATCACTTGCAGTTAATGAAGCGCTGGATCCATAAAATGAGGTTTATTATCTTTAAATAAGACGTACTGTCTTACATCAGAACACGGAATTCTCTTGCATGAACATGGTAATAGAAGCAATAGATCAAAGTCACTATCGAAATTTATTCAGCCAACCAGGTCACTTCATCAAGAGAGACAATTCATTGCAGTCTGAGAGGGCCCATTTTGTGGAGTTTTAGAATTCGTTTTTTTTTCAGAGAAGATGGTGAGAAAGATCAATTGAAATAAATTACGCCACGCCGGAATGAATTGCCAATCACCGTTTATTGACGTAAGGTATAGTCAGGAACAGTGAGTACCATACATAGTGTAAGGAAACATACGATAAATACGGTATTGTTTTACGCAGTTTACAGGGATGTCGACTTTTAATTACATTGGTTCTAGTATGGAAAAATAACTCATATATTCGGAAACATTTTTTTCCGGGAGATCAAATGCACCTCTTCCTTTTTGGTGTTCCGTTTTAGATATTTTCAGGAAATACCATCTAATGAATTTTTAGTAATTGGTTCAAGGATTAATTATATATCGGCTGTACTCGTGATGTAATAGAGTGATTTTGCTTGGATATACAATAGATGCAGTGATAAGTTCTCACAATGCTGCAGGAGAGAATCTTAAGAAAGCGCCTATGGTAAGTGTTTGTTATCTGCCATCGTGTGTAATTGGTTGTTCATGTTCGCGAGAAAAGTGAAACAAGTGTGGGTGCAATAGCAAAGGCTGCAAAAGATCTCTTACTAGGTGAGTACATTTCTCTCTTTTGAGAGTCTGCCATTGCTATTTAACAAAATGAGATGTCTCTAGATATATATAAGTGGTTTATTTATATTTTTTCATAATAAAAGATTATGGTCGAATTATTGATCAAATATTTTAAGGATGCCTTTTTTTAAAAAGATACTTTGTTAAAACATCTGTTCTTATCAAATAATTATATATATGCCAAAAGAATTACCGGGTATTTTAATTTGTAAAGATTTGAAAATGTATGTTTCATAGATACTTAAAACCACTAATACAACCTAAGAAAAATAATAAAAGTAAATTCTCATTTGAAAGAAATCCGAAAAATCAAATACTAGTCATGAATTGACCTTTCTTTGACTTCATGATGAGGAGGCAAAATGCCGAATGAAATGTAATAGATTTATATAAATTGCATCGTAGCATGATTTTATTATTGGCTAAGCCTGGGGTGTATATACGAGATCAGATGTTGATATACTATTTGTCTCTTCTTTCTAATATCGGATGTTCACTCAGCATCCATCATATATGAGAAGTGAAAATCTTATACACGGCATTAAGATGAAGGTGGCATACATATACAAATAAAATTTCGAGCGCTTTGAAAATTCAATAGGAAAATTTTTGAGAAAATACAGTTAACTAATTCGTATTTAATTGGCAGTTTAATTTTTTTGGCAATTTACTAGTATGGTTTATTCATTATTTTAATAAAGACAACAGCTTTGAACTTGTACCTCATGATTTTTTATTTTCTAAACAGATACTTCTTTTAATTAAGTAAATATTTTACATGTTTCTATAAATTATCTTTTTTTATTTACTTTATGGAACACACATGTAGTTTTGTTGAGCGATAAGACAATTATTCCAGATGAACAAACTAATATGCAATGTTGGTAGAGTTCCGGACAAGAGTAAAACGATCAATAGATATTCATTGGACAGGCTAATAGCCACTTACCGATTGGATAATTCTAATCTTCTAATCACTGATGCTTCAATCTATATTGTACTGTAACTGTTGACAAGGAATATTGACATTTTAGACTCATAATGGACTTAAGGTTAAACATGTAATGTAATGAATAGTGGGGCTTCGCTGAGCATGCAAAATGTCTTTTACCGTTCTCTCGGAGGGAAACCTAATAGTGTTGTCGTAACATGGTTATTATGTCTTCGACAAATTAGTTTGCCTTGATTCATTTTATTAATTTTCAAGTTTACTCGTCGGAATATTGATTGAAGCTGGGTTTCATGACAGGCATGTCCGTTTCGGGGTGACGTGAAATTTTCAACCCTGACAATAGCATGTTGTTGTAATTATTCAATCCGGTGATCATATTTTTTTACGCTTAAAATATTTCTTTTCCATTATATTGACAAAAGTGCATTCTCGAACCTAAGACACGTAGTTACCAGAACACAATATTTTATTAGAAGTTCTTATAAGACTAGAAGCGAAACCTTTGAAGGAAATGTTATTTGCTTCTCATATATTCAATACTAATGAAATTCATCAAACGAAATATCAAAATTATTTTGTTATTTCATTTCATGCAAAAAGGAAGGACTAAAAAAGGAAATTTTGAAAGGCGGAAGCAATGATTTTTGAAAACTGCAATTTCCTTTTCAGTATTTCTGTTTTTCATTGTGTATTTATGACTAAAACTTTGATGAAAAAAATATTATTTCCTTCATTTCAAGAATTCAAGCAGTTGGAAAAATCACGAATTCATGACAATGTCGAAAAAAAATTTCAGTGCCTTTACTTCAAATAAAATGGCCATGCCTGTTAAGTTTATTCAAAACACTAATTTACTAATACCAAGAGGATTCAAATCCAATTAAAAAATCTGGAGAATCAATTTTCAATTACCTGAAAATAATACTTCATTGTAGTTTGCAGGCGACTGACGTCAAGCGATTTCTTCCACAATAAAATTGTGATTCACTATAAAAATGGAATGCCTCCCTACTCACAATTATTTGACTACAGAATAAGAGTAAAAAGTGGGGAGAACGCTTCGGACCCTTAATCGCCCATCCCGCTCTCTACTGTCAAGGTCACCCACCTTACTCTAAAGAAGTCGCCCATCCCACTCTACCGCCAAGGTCGCCTACTAACTCTACCGTCAATGTCACCCATATCACTCTACTGTCAAGGAGGTCGCCGATCCCTCTATACCGTTGAGGTCGCCTCTCCCATACTACCGTCACGGTCGCCCTATCACTCTACCGACAAGGTCGCCCACTCACTCTACCGACAAGGTAGCCCACATCACTCTTCCGTCATGGTTGCCCACTCATTCTACAGACAAGGTCGCCCATCCTACTCTACCGTCAAACCGTCAAATCGCCCACATCACTCTACCGTCAATGTCACCCATGTCACTCTACTCAAAGAGGTATCCATCCCATACTACTGTCAAGATCGCCCACTCACTCTACTGTCATGGTCGCCTACTCTACCGTCAAAATCTCTCAGTCGACAGATCGTTCGCCTAGAGATCAGCTCCTTCTCGCTTGACACTTAAAGAGAAACTTATGGGTCTTTTGGATGAGATTCTAAAAACCGAGGTGGCCCCGGAGCGTTGGGGAAATGCATATTATCCTACACGAACGTAATATTTAGCCTAAGGGTGATAGAGGTTTTTTCATTGAACCAGAAAGAATATACAGGGGTCTTGTTTTAAATTTTATCAGACGAAGATTACACAGGAGTATGTGATTGACACCTCTCCTTTATGGATCACAAACTTTTGAAATAAATGTACAAAGCAATGTCTCCATTTTCGTATTTATAATTTGAAAAATATGATTAAGGAAATATTTTGAATTTTATATTTTTAAAATAGATTGTAAAAGCCGAACTACATACTACTAAACAGCAACATTCACATGTTCTAATTCATACAAATTCTGCAAATTTCTAACAAAACACACACGGACTCGTATGTTATCTAATTTTAAATCTAGATTGTTTATGAGAAATTATGGATTTATAGAAAAACAAAATTCGTGTTTCTTGAGGTTTTTTTGAAAATTCTTTCTAATGAGAAAGCTCTCAAAATCTTCATTAAGAAAAATGATATTTTAATGGAAACCATTTCATCAAAGCTAAGAACGCGAATTTCTAAGACTAGAAATAATTCCAAAAATAAATGATAAGTTGACTTGTTTAAGCAGGCTCAGCATTTTTACAACGTAGAACACAGATTTACATTTTATTTATAACCCTATAATTGTACAATATACTTAAATTAGTTGAAGCTTTACCTCTAATTAGCGTCGAGAAAATGGCTTTAATGGTAACCAAAGAAATTTAACGACAATCGAAACACTCGTAAAACAATTCACAACGAGGAATCATGGACAAAGCGTCTGACATGTCTATAGCAACCGCCTGATATGTAATGGTGAGTGCAGTAAATGAGACACCTTTACATAAGAGTCCTCATTCTTCATCGATCAGGGCCCCTATACGTTTTTGTCCCCCCGCATGACAAAGGCAGGGATGAATAACTTTAACGCACTTGCCATTTTCTCACATGAAACCTCTTCCTCAAAACATTTTTTTTTTCTAAAAAAGGGTTTGCATTGTATTTTTAGGTTTAAATGTTTCTAGAATTTACATTTTCACGTTAATGCCAAGATGAGAAACAAAGGCACTGGAATGGAATTCGATAATATTAATTCGTAAATTGAGAATAAATTAATACAAATGTAGGTCATGGTGACCTACTTTTCTGTTTGTGTCTGTTGTCAAAAAGTCTGCGCTACAAGACTTGTACATTTTGAGGTCTAGCATCAAACCGTGTCAGGTAATTATACATCCTGAGTGTCAGCTTGAAAGCAGTAATATACATTTTTAAACTTTTTTAATTATTTGGCAAATTCTATAACCTGCACGATATGAGCCATGAATATATTATTGCTTGTGGGGGTGTGATACAATTTGAAATTAAGGTTGTTGCAGCTCATGCAAGAGTTGGGTCATGATAGCTCGCCCCATTTCTACTCTGTCTTTTTTCTTTAGTATAAAAGGTCTAAAATAGCAATATTGTTCAATATGCGGTCAAGGTTCATCATCTGTTGTCAGCTAATGTCCCTTGAACGCTATACATTCTCTGATGTAATTTGTTTTAACCAGTGTAGCAATATATCAGAAAAGAGTTTCTAGGCATCTGAGCCTCTTTTATGTAAATGCGACTATGAGGTCGGTGTATCTGTGCTCTCCATAATCTAATTTTTTTTGTTTGCCCCTGTTGCTAACATTTATTTGATGCCGGCTATGAAGCCCTAGTTTCTTTGTTTCATGAATATGTAATCATCTGCTTGCATCAATGTTTCAAAGATACATGACAGAGTACGAAAAAGTCATATTACTTCATCTATTTCTTTATGTAAAACAAGAACTAACAAGTTTCAGAACAGGAATTGTTAAAAGAGGCAATGAAATCTTCCCATATATATGGAAAAGAAAATGATATTGTATAAAAAATATTTTAATTAATACTGTATAAAAAATATTTCAATTAATATTGTATGAAAATATTTCAATTAATCAACTTCAACACATTTCAATAAAATTTTTACATTATCTAAAACAGAATTTAAAGACACAGCTGAGCAATTTTTACCCTTCGATAACCATCCACTAAAAAAGAGAATTCTCAAGTGTAACATCATTTGTTAAATCAAATTTCGCTTGATTTACCAGTTTTAAACTTTTGTCTCCAAAGATTTGTAATCTATGTATAGATCTAACGCATGAAGCCTTTGTAATAAACAACATCAATCAGCAAAGTTTAGAGGTAAATTAAATTTATTTATTCACAATAATATAACTATAATTCATTGATCAACACATGTAATCATTCACTT